TTTTCTTTAGGATTTTATTGGCTATTGCTGTTGGTGGGGGTTGGTGGTGTAATTACCTACTGGCCTTTTTCAGAACTGAGAAATGCAGAATTTGTTTCTGAATTCTACAGCACAGGAACCTCTGGATTAAAAGCAAAGTAAACACCTCTTCAGGAAACTTTGCTTGGTGGCCATAAGACAGGCTATTTTTAGCTGCAGCTGGAGCAAAGGAATGGTAGCTGCACATCCCGTAAGACTGCCAGTTCCTGTCTCTGCTAGACATCTGTCCTTGCTCTGCTACTGTGTGCACCTGGATGCTGAAAGTAGAGAGCACCACTGTAGTTGTATAGAAGAGATACACTCAGCACACATAAGTTACTGTATGTGAGCAAATCTCTTCGTCTTTCCTTACATGGTCTCTATAGAGCTCAGCTGTAAGACAAGAGTGATCTCCTAAAGGATAGATGGGGGGTGGCTGGGATAACATGTCCCTTGAACAGGGATGGCTGCATTGCTGGCTTGAAAATATCTTCTGCTCTTGATGCCCTAGAAGAAGAATAACAATTTCTGAAGTCTCAACCGAACTTCTCCACCTAGCAGTGCTACAGTTTTCAGATAAGGAAACATTACTGTGATATGCTTGTATATGGATCAGGATACCAGTAACCCAACGCCCTGCTTCTTGAGTGAGCCCTGAGGCATTCATAGCGTGAGTAGTCTCACTTACTTTGGCAGTCGTTGGGCTGAGATAGCCTGATTTCTGCATTTTTCTCCAAAAGCTGTAAGCAGCTTTCTCAGTGGGCTGGCTGTGGGCAAGCGCAAGAGGGGCTGCTTTTAATAGCTGGTCCGCGTAACCTCACTCTTCAAGTAACCCTGAGAGACTTCAGAAAACATGGTGAGATTCCTGACTAGGGTGAAAAACAACGCAGTGCTGGTCAAATCCCAGAAATATCTTTTTGGAAATAAACCATAAATCATATTAGAAGTAATGAATCATATTAGAAAAATTTATGTAGAAATAAATCATAAAAAGTTGACTGTCAGAGCCGCAGCTCCCAACATGAAACAGTTCAGAACGATCCCTCCCTCCCAGATATGAGATGATGCCGAAAAAGTAGTGAGGCGAAAGAAAGAAGAGAAGCGCGACGTTTCCCCTCGATTCAGCCAACCAAAAGACGCTTTGTGGGGTTCACAGCTCTGCCTCACCTTGCTGGAGCGGGCGGCGGGACGGGGCTCTGCAGCCGAAGGAGGAGCGGGGACGTGGCGGGGCTGCG